CAGCATTATCTAATTTCCACATGCCAGGAAAGCTCTCCCTCCTTACCTTAGAGCCCTTCTCTTCCTTTAAGACACAGCTCAGGCAAAGTCTGCATGAAATCTTTCCTGATTCCTCCAACTGCTAATGCTCTTTACCCAAACTACTTGTATTGGAACTATTTTTTGTATTTATTTATATTTATAGTGACATATATATATTATATAATATATATATATACACATACACACACATATATACATAAATATGTCACATGTCATGTATGTATGTATGTATGTGTGTATATTTCTCTCCCCTATTATAATATAAGCTCCTTGGGAGTAAGGATTGTTTCATTCCTTATACTTGTATTCCCAATGCCTAGCACAGTGCCTGGTACATTTTAGATGCTTAAATGCTTGTTGATTGATTGAAAAAGAATTGTAGTATAAAAGTCTTACTTGATAGGACCCATGATAGCTATTTTCAAGACTTTTAAAGTTTGCCTTGTGGGAGAAGGATTAAGCTTCTTCTGTTTGCCCAGCATTCAATACTAGGAGTAATGAGTAGACTTACAGTGAGGCAGGCATAGGCTTATGGGAAACCATTTTCTGTCAATTAGAATTATCTAAGAGTGGGGCAGCCTGCCTTTGAATGTTTGAAGGCTGCATGGCCACCTGTTGGATATGTTTTAGAGGGGTTCTTGTTCAGATATAGGTTGGAAAATGCCTAGGCCTCTGAGGTCCCTTCTAATTTGGAGATCCTGATTCTGTCTATTCTATTTATTTTTCTTTGTACTTTTTTTGGGGGGGGCAGTGAGGCAATTGAGGTTAAGTGACTTGCCCAGGGTCACATAGCTAATAAGTGTCAAGTGTCTGAGGCTGGATTTGAACTCAGGTACTCCTGACTCCAAGGCCAGAGCTCTATCCACTGTGCCACCTAGTTGCCCCCATTCTGTTTATTTTTATCTAATATGTAAGGCATGTTCCAAGAAACCAAATCCTGTTCTTTTTCACTACACAGCCAGCAGTTCCCTTCCCATAAGGTCATGACCATCTGATGGAAGAAAAGCTCAAACCACCTGGGTCTCGAAGTGCTTTTTTCTCCAGGACTTCTCATTTGCTCATTCCAGATTCTTTCTGATTTACCAAGTGGTGGTCACCGTGCTTGATGAATTAGGTTCTCAGCACCATCTTGGGTAATGGCTCCGCAAAGAGCACATTTCCTTCTAGCAATATCAAGTCTAGATTTGATCACCTCTATGCACTCAATGGGGTCACCATGAGATTACTGGGGAATTTCTCAACCCAGAAGGTCTAAGACCCTCTTGGGGAATAATTACTCCAACCTTGGTCCATCTGGGTGGAGGTCACTCAATCAAAAGGCAAAGCTAAAAGATAAGAAAATGGGTTTTAATAGTGTAACTAGCTGGTGGATCAGGTGGATGGCAATGACTTCAAGCCAAGAAAGAATGCTCACATATGTAGGCTGCTGCACAGTTCTGGGGTGACATTACACGGGAAAATGAAAAGTTTAAATTGGCCTACGAGGTGGTAAAGTTCTGTTACTTTATTTGGGAAGTTGAGTAACAGGGACAGGATGTCAGGTGATTTGGGGGAGAATGTGCTAACCTTGGTACTGTAATGTTAGTTAACCCTGGAGCCTTCAGGAGTTCCCCAAGATCAGGTCCATTACAGTGGAGATATTTTCTTTGTAGTTAATCTCATCAGAATATCCTGGTAGGGCAGAGAATGTCTAAGATAGCAGAGGTCTCCCTCAGGATGGAAATCCATGGAGTTCATCTTGTGCTTGCCAGCTAAGAGCTGCACAGTTCCATTTCTTTGATCTCTAAGGTTCTTTTCTTCTTGAGAGATGTTTTTCCCAGACTCCTAATATCCAAGCTCATCTACTTCTACAAAGTATCCTATGTTCCTCTTGAGGTTAGCTGCAAGATTCCTTAGGTTTGCTAGTCACTGTGTCTCTTGTTAGTGTCTTACAAAGTAGACAGGACCAGAATCATTCCCCATAGAGAAGAACCTCATCCCTAGGAACTCCAGGGGTGGTGCTTTTATTTCTCTGCTGTGTCCCGTCTCCCTACTTTTGACAATGGTTTGAATTTCCCTCTGTTCCCTCGTAATCTTTTTCTTTATGGATTGCTTTTTGTATCCTGAGAAACCCTGGTACCCCCTGATAAATCAGTGTTAAGAAGTGTTTTTCACTCTTTCATCTAACTGGTGACCATCTTAGGAAGGAGGAAGGAAGACAAGCTTAGTTCTTACCTTACAAGTCACTTGATTCTCTCTTTATGCATCCTTTGTGGCTGTTCCACTCAGCTGGGGCCCTTGGGAATCCTTTTTAAGTTGGATTGCCCAGGACAAGTTCTCCCCTTCAACTCTCCTTCCTTTTCCCTCCCCTCCTCTTCCTCTCCTTCACCCCTCCCTTTTTCTTCTCTCCCCAATCCTTCCCTCTTCCCCCATTCTTGTTCTGTTCTTCCCTTCCCTTCCCTTCCCTTCCCTTCCCTTCCCTTCCCTCCCCTCTCCTCTCCCTAGGTAACTAATCCAGTAGAGTATTAGCAATTAGGACAACTAGCAGGTGTTAAAGCTCACCTAACAATGGCAAATGGAGCAGACAAAGACTCTATCCAGCCTTAATTGAAGAGGTGGATGGATCCATTCTAGCATTCTCAGGTGTCCTCACCAGAACTGGCATTAGAGTAGCTGTGTGTGCTCCCTACCGGCAGCTTCAGATCCAAAGTCATTTAAAAATCATATCTAGGAACTTGACGCAACCTGACTTGTTCTAGGATGGTCAGAGTGCTTTAGGAAAGCACTACTCTAAGAAATTCAGGCACAATCCCTTTGTGGGATATTGGGAGCACCCAAATTACTTTGTTGTTTGGGAATTTTGTTTAAATGTACACACAAGACAAAAAACGGACATTCCAAGTCTTCCTGTATATTGCAGACATGGACTTTTCCCACCAGTGTGGCCTATTCTGAAGGTCAGATAGATTACAGGGAAGAATAATCAGCCACAATTCAGGGAAGGCATTTCCATTTTATTTAAAAACTATTTACAATTTATTTGACCCTTCGTAAATACTTTATCTAAAATCCTCGCATAGAGTACTTTTACCTGAAGAAAAATGAACTATTGGCTAGCAAGTTGGGGGTGAGGAATGAGGTCAGAAGAGGGGATTGATGACAGGCTCTCCCTCTGATCTCTTCAATGGAGTAGAAGCATAGCCAAGAGCTGGGACCCAAGGCCTGATTAGTGAAGGGAAGGAGGGAGTGAGGAGCCAGGTGGACAGTGTGTGAAAGGGAAGAATTTGTGGCCTAGATCTAGGTCCCTCTGGCCCATGCATGAAAGGTAAGAAGAATGGGTAAATAGCTGCTCTGACTCAAACCTCCTGACAGACCTAAACAAGGCTTTCTAGTCCTGGCCAGTGGCACTGAAAGCCCTGGGATAATTATTAGACACTACATATATTCTTATGAGGCAAGAGGGTTTATGCGAGGTCATGCACCACTGGGCTGCCAGCCATGCTTGGAAGGAAAAGATCAATGCCACATTGTGTAGGGCCATAGCTCACACATTGAGCCTCCTAATTCTCCTTCACCTCACTTAGAGGTGAGGCTTTCGTGACCCCCACTTCACTGGGAAATTGGTCCTGGTTTGGGGGAAGAGAGGGAGGAATCTGGCAGTAAACAGGCTTGTAACCTCTGGCATTTTCCAGGAGTCTCTGACAGTCTTCAAGAGCCTGGCTTTATTCATGAGCAAAGTGGGGGGTTGTCTGTGTGGTGCAATTTAAGGGATGTTGAAATGGATACCCCACCTACACCCCAATGCCATTTCCCATACTCTCCCTCAAAGCTGATGAAATCCTTTCCTTCACTTTGCCTTAAGGTTTCTGAGGTCTTAACAGTAACACATTTATTTGGGTGAACTAGCACTCTTTTTAAAAATGCACATACACAGGGCTATTTCTAAGCACTTTACGTTTTAGTATGAACTAGGTAAATGTGATTGGTGTCCTCTTAGCACTCAGCTGAGATCATCTGAGGGATGAGAAGTTTTGAGTGGATGGGTGGTGTGGGAAAAGAAGTAAGGAGAGGTAATTCTGGAAAATGGAGCACTTAGGGAGGGCTAGTGTTGGTGAAGAACTTAAGGAGGGAGTAAACTTTGGGCACCTTAAGGGCACCAGGCCCTGAGGGCAACAATTAGGAAGGAGATGGGCCAGAACTGAAGAAGGGGACCAAAGACAAAAGACCTCTTTATAGGCACACATTTCTGACCTGGGATGCCAGGGCATACCAAGATATAGTCTTTGCACCACCATGTGGCTATTTGTGAAAATTGCCCTTCCTCAGTATCCCTTGAGAAAGAGCAGAAAATGAGCGAGGCTGCCAAGCTGGCCGGCCAGTCTAGCAGTAAGAGGAGGAGGAGAGAAAGAAAAGAGAGTGTGAGAAGTGATTCTCCGACATTCCTGGGGATGCACACTGCAGTTCCTTGAGAAAAAAACATACCTATGGGTCATTGTCTTTGACTGACCTGGCACTCTTTGGTTTCTTAAATAGCAAAACTCATTCCCATAACTGTTTACAAGTTTCTTGCTACTTTCCTTAAAGGCTGAAATTTCATCTCTTGGCTTCCACCTGGGATTTGGCCAATGCACATAAGCCTGTCTCCCAGCACAGACCTACAAACTGATTGGTGACTGCTGGGTGCTGCACAAGGTATACAGAAGGGGTGGTCCAGTCCCAGCACTCTATTCCTGGGAGAGAATAGTTATTCAAGGGTCCTTCTCTACCATTGCCCAAACCAGCTTGGATACACGCATATCTCTGCCACCAGAATCCTTCATAAGCAGGAAATGGACCACTGGAAGAGGTTTTAAGTGCCTGAAGACTATATTGAAATATATAAATATATATAGACACATATACACATGTACACATGTGTGTGTATATATATATTATATGTATATATAAAATTTATTCAAATAATGCTTTGAAACCTCATCTTCTACTCCCTCTCCTGGGCCAATTCTCTCACCTGCCTCTCCAGCCTCTGGCCCACCTGGAGCTGAGTCATGTGTAGATGTTTCAATTGGGTCAACAATGGCTTTCTTTCCTAGAGAAAGGGCCGATGAAGTGAAAACAGATGGCCTAACCCAGCATCAGGGGATCCCAAAGATCCCCCAGGGAACTGGAAGAGATGGGGAAGGGAGAGCTGGCAAGCTGTGGTCACTTCTTTACTTCGTGGTGTCAGAACCATTTCCATAATATTCCATTCAAGGCACTGGTTTCCTTTATAACAACAGCAAGGCTCTGAGCCAGGATGGAGGTGAGAGGAAATATTTGCTGAAATTGACGGCTAGGAAACATGGAGGAAAAAAAACATGGTGCCTTATTGCCTTTGGCAGGTCTCTGGAGATGGAGGAGATGATAGAAGGATGGTCTTTCCCAAAGCGTGTGGAAAACCATCCACCCACCTAATGTTCAAGCATCACTTCCTGTCATGTGATTAGAGGTGTTAAATTGGAATTCTCCTCTGGGGTCCTCTCCCCATCTGACGACCTCTTCCTTTTTCCAACACCTGCAAAGATGTTACAAGATTCAAGATCCATTTGTGAAGCATTTCAAAACCTTATATTATTTTAAAAGAATCCATATTTACTAGAATACATTCTTCAGAAGATAAACAAAAGAAGTAAAAAAAAATGGCAGGTTGGACTAGAGTGAAATAATCCTAACTTGGGGGGAAAGTTAAATTCCAGTTCAGTAAAATGAGGGAGTAATCATCACATTTGCCATTATAAGCATTTTGGAGGGGGATGGGGGGTTTCTTCTTAGGATTAAGTAAGTGCTTGTCTCTGAAGAGGAGGAGGACGACAAAATGAAATGACCCCTAGTTCAAGAAATGGCAGCTGCTGATCACTGAAATGAACAGATGTGTCTATGAACTATCTCTCACAGAAACAGCAAGCGTATCCATGTGCCTCTAGCTAGCCACTGCCCCCAGATCCATTCCTCATATTTCCCACAGAAACAGCAGGTGTGTCCACACACTCAACCACAACCACATCCATCTAATCTCAGACAGGACCACAATAGTCAACCCATCAGAAAGCAGCAGCATCACCAGGATGCCCAAGCAGGATGTGGACCCCAAAACAGTAGAAGGGACTTTCCCTAAGTAGGCACCTGAGCTGTGATAGCAAAAGCTGTCCTTTAGGTGAACTTACGATGTAGAGAGGCTTATTATAATATCATTATCATAATCCTTGCCCCCCAACTGGGTTTTTCTGTATGCATTGGGGGCAATTGCAGTTCCACTGAGGCTGGGACCCCTCCCCCATTACCTAATCCCTTAACAAACCCCTCCTGCCTTGTTCATATTCATAATTTCTGTTACATAATTGCATCTTTACCCTATAAAAATCCATCTTGCTTTCACTGAAGTTGCTGGTTCCTCTTAGAACTCAGCCAGTTGGAGGCATCATTCTCAATAAATGCCTATATTTGGATTAGAGGTGGTCTGACTCTGAACTCTTTGAGACAACCCCACAACACACCATGACTACAACATTACTACCTGTGTGATCTTGGGCAAATTATTTAACCTCTCTGGGCCTCAATATCTATATCAATAAAATGGGATGATTGGACTACATGACCTCTAAAGTCTCTTCCAGCTCTAAAACTGTAATTATCATTTATAGGAATGGACTGTATTTAACCTTGGTTTTTATTTATGTTGAATTTATTTCTTTTAGTTTGCTTGGCAAGTTGGCTAATGAATTCTGGGTACTTACTGAATGGGATACTTCCCTAATGGAATAGCAATAGTCCTAAGCCCACTGGTGAAAATAATGGTCCTAGTTCTGGCCCTTTCAAAGTCATCCAATGATTCCATCTTTTTTTTCTTGTCGAGGCAATTGGTGTTAAGTGATTTGCCCAGAGTCACACGGCTAGTAAGTGTTATGTGTCTGAATCCGGATTTGAACTCAGGGCCTCTTGACTCCACAGCCGGTGCTCTATCCTCTGTGCCACCTCACTGCCCCCAATGATTTCATCTTGGAGACCGATCCTACCCTGCAACTTCTAGGCTTTGCCCACCAAGAGACTTTTCAGATGAGTGGGGATCTACTCACTTAAAGTTCTCAGCAACTTCTTGCCCAGTGTCTCCTCAAAGTCACTGCTGGAGGGGCTGGTCACACTCCCCAGGTTAGGGTCATCTGAGTCCAAGATGAGATTACAACATTCACTGTCTGTTTCTAAGAAATGAGGAGGGAGGAGAAAAAATGGGAAATAACTTTAGGATCAGAGATTTAGTGCTGGAAGCAATCAATCTAAGAGAGCACTCACTACAACCCCCCCTTTCTTTACGATGAGGAAATGGCCCAGAGGGATGGAGCTGCTAAGGTTACATAATTAGTAAATAACATGGATGAGATTCAAACCCTGGTCCTTTGATTTTAAGTGCAGTATGCTTTCCACTGTACTCCACTGATTCTCTTTCCCACCAAACCCACTCCACTTTGGGAACCAAACAAAATCAGCTGGCTCTCTTCTGGTCTTAGCAAGGTAGGTACTTACACCTGGAGGAATGCATCTCAGGGTTAATCTTAAAATATAAAGGACCCCATGCTATGGTTTGGTATCAGTTTCAAAATGTGAGGGAGATGAAAACAGGCTCATAAGCTGAATCCTAGGAGCTTAGGCAGTGCGGTTAGGAGTTCCAGTAACAATGGGCTGATTTGGTGGGCACGCACCCCCAGAGAGACTAGCACAACACTTATCCCATTAAGTATGGTAAAATGACTGGCCAGAGTAATTGCTGTCAGCAGTGAAGGAAACAAGGTCACCTGTTGTGAATCTAGAGCGTTGACCTGTGGGTTGGGTTGAATTATTCTGATGGAGAGAACTTTTGCAGGTTCTTTCCTGTCCTCTCAAAGACTTTAACATCAATGAAAGCAGGGTCTTGTTTAAACTTTCTACATCCCCAGGGCATAGCAATAGTCTGTACACAGTATGAGCACAGAATGAGTGGTTAGCTAAGTGATTATGTAGCAGCAATATGCCTGGAATACCAAACTGTGCCATTGAATCAGGAGACTTCCTGTTTTGCTGAGAGGGAACCTGGGATTAGAAGAATGAACCAAATATTTTGATCTAAAGAGTCCAGGTGGAAGATTTCTGGATGGGTGTCATTTTCCTGGGAGTCCCTAAGGCCTTTCAGGGGGTTCATGGGGTAAAAACATTTTGTAATAGTCCTATGATGTTTTAATGTCCAATCTGGTAAATACCAATAGATATAACAAACACAAACTCTTTGGTGAGGGAGGGCCTCATAATTGTTAAGAGTATAAAGGGATCCCGAGACCCAAAAGCTTGAGAACCATGAATAGACCACCTCACCTAGAAGGGCTAGGTTAGGGTTGGGGTTGGACAATTTTAGTTAAGGATCAAAGCTAAAGAACCTCTCACTTGAATTATTCAGATTTATTTTATAAACTATTATACTTACCTCTTCCTGATGTGTTATTTCTGAATATATGTATATGCATTTATAGACATGTACACATGTATGTGTATATTTATATAGCACAACACAATACATATATGTATGTATGCATATACATACAGACACATCTACATATTGTTTTCCCTTCTAAATAATCTGGTGGTCTGGATCTGTATAAGGGGGAAGAATGTCAAGGAGGAGGTGGAAGCTGGGCCAGATATGGTGGTGGTGTTGATATCATTGATCCCGAAGTGGCTCAGGGGCCAGGCAGATCCAGGAGGCCTAGTGTCTCAGGTTAAGGTTCTGTGATTATGGAGATTTAGAAAGTAGAGGTGAAAGCCCTATGGGTACAAGTCCCCTGAGTGCATTACAGTCAGAGGAGCTAGTGTCTGGAAGGTTAATTCTGGGTGGACAGCACTATTAAGAGCTGGAAGAAGGTCCAGGGCTTGGCAAGTCAGGATAGTGACTACCTAAAGCACCTGCAGAATGAAGGGAAATGAACTTCTCACCTGGGCATAAGAATTAAGTCAAATCCCAATGTTCCCTTTGCTCAGCCTCACTGGCCACTCTCCTACTAACAGGTGATCATTCCCATATTCCTTTTCTGGTAGAAAGACTCCCAGGTTCCAACCACTGCTCTGCCACTTACTAGCCAGGCAGTATAGATTGGATAGAATGCTGCATTTAGGAGACTCGAAGACCTGAATTTAAATCCGGCCCCTGACACTAACTAGCTGTGTGACCTTAGGAAAATTAGTTAGCTTCTCTTGCCCTCAGTTTCTCCATCTTCAAAATGGGAATGAAAACAGTACCTACCTCACAGGGTTGTTGTGATGATCAAATGAGGCAGGATACATAAAGTGAATAGCAAACCTTAAAATACTATATGAAATGTTAGTTATTATGACTATGATCTGAGAAAGTCATTTTGTCAGAGCCTTGGTTTTCTCCCTTGTAAAATGGGGGAGAACATGGTACAATAGCCGATCTCTAAGTGCCCTTCCCGTTCTAAAATCCTGTGAACCACAACCCCATCTGACCTGGTCTGGGTGGAAGAGCAGTGGCTGGGAGCACAAACTGAGGGCTTCTGCACTCCTCCTTGGCATTCACTCCCTCCTGTACGAAGGAGATCTCTTCCATCTTCAGGTACACTGCTTCACTAGGGCTCTTTAAACCATCTGTCCGGCTGCCTGTAGAAGAGACACTAAACTACTGCTTTGATCAGGAGTGGTCCAGAGGCCCTGCTTGAGGTCCAGGATCTCAGTGATGGGCTGGCAGCCAGAGAGACTGGAGACTCTTAATTACTTGGCAGTCTCCTACGGATGCTGCCCCCATGACCTGCCCCATTAACTTACACTGAAGGCTGTTCCTGTCATTGAGAAGGGTGATGGCAGGGTCATCTTTAGGGGTCTGTGGGGTTCCACGAGAAGTTGGTGCCTTGGTGGAATCTCCATCGGCAAAGGCCTCCATGTCTGGAGACTGAGGGGAGCTGTCCATGTGGCAAGCGGTGAGTGCATTCTGATACTGTTGTCGAGTGATCTAAGAGAAAGCAGAGAGAGGGACAGACAGTTCAGGATGGGCTAATCAGACCTCAACCTATGGAGCCCATCACTGGTGTAAGCAACCATAGCATCCTAGGCCAAGAGGCAGCACCATTTTGAATATCTACCACCTGGCGTATGGACTACACAATGGGTTGAGGAACACCCAGATGAGCCAGGACACCCTGTTCAAAAATATCTCTTCAATTGGTGACAAATTCTTCCTGAGCTAGTAGCCAAGTCTAGAGCAAGCCTTAAAATATACATATTTTCTGAGCAGTAACTCAATACTACTATCAACCTTTAATACTTTCGTGCTAATTAATTAGACAAGCACTAAGGTAATAAGAAAAATTCTAAAAAGAAGAAAAAGGATCCTGAGAGCTGGCTTCAAGGGGCTCTCCTGTAGAGGAGGAATTAGACTTTTCTCTTTGGCCACAGAAGGCCAAGCCAGGAGAAACAGACAGCCATTGCCAATAGATAAATTTAGATTTTATAAAGGAAAACTTCCTAACAATTTGGAATATCAAAGAGTGGAATGTCTTCCCTTGAGAAGAGCAGGATTCTCACTCACCAAAAGTCTTCAAGCAAAGGCCAGATGACCACTTGTCAGATATGTTGTAGTCATACAACATATCAATCAATCAATGTTGATTGATTGATAAATGTTATATAACTGTTCAGGTTATGAGTTGGACCAGTTGGCCCCTGAAATTCTTTCCAGCTCCGAGACTGTGTGATAAATAAATTTTTTTAAATAAGTAAATTATAACAGAAGAGAAGTGTTAATGGGGCAGGGAGAGTCTTAAGCATAAGCCGATCTTCCCCACCAGTTAAACCATCTGGGAAAGGTTGACCTGGAGCTGCAGTGAGGTGGGGGGAGGGAGAGGGATGTGCTTTGGCAGGCGAGGTATAATATAATAACAGCTAGCATTTCTATAGGACTTTGAGGTTTACTTTAAAAAGATGATCTCATTTATCTTCATAACAACTTAGGAAGGTTGGTGCTATTATTATCCCTGTTTTACAGATGAGGACACTGAGGCAGACAGAGGTGAAGTGGCTTGCTTAGGGTCACATGGCTAGTAATTCTCTGAGCCCAGATTTGAACTCAGAAGTTCCTGACTCCAAGTCCAGTGTTCTAACCATGGAGCCACCTAGATTCCCTAGGTGAATGAATAATATACTGTAATAATGAGGACTATGAAGGACTTATGAAGAGAGGTCAGCTGAATGAAGGATGGAAAGACACAGAAAACAAACTTCCCCTACTTCACAATCTTGTCAAGGGCTAAGTTCTATTAGACTAAAGATTTAGTAGAAATTTGCTTAAGATACAGCTAGGGCTCTGGCCTTTCAAACTCTCTTGGAGTAGCAATTTGAGAAATTCTTGTCTACAATGGTTCCGTCTTAGATAGATAGAAGTAGATAATGATTCACAGGGGAACAGGAAGTCACCTGGGTTTGGAGAAACCAGAAAATCCCTTTTATGGCTCTTAAGGATGACCACGCCTAGGCCCTGACTATTTCTTCCCTTTACTTACTTGGGAAAATACTTGACCATAAATTTAGCTTCAAACAATTTCCAGGTCACACGGGGCTCTCTGATACAGTTTTAGGGATCTGCATGGTTCTTAAACTTAGATCCACAATAGATTTCAAGAGGTCAGTAAATTTGGATGGGAAAAAAATTACATCTTAATTTCCATTAACCTCTCACTGAAATATAGTATTTCCTTCAATGATGATTTAAAAAAAATACACACCACATTATTGTGAGGAGTCCCCAGTCTTCACAAGAATGTCAAAGGAGTCTGTGGGACACAAAAGGTTGAGAATCCTTGATATAGGCTGACCACCCCATTTTACAGATGAGGAAACGAGGCCCAGAGGGGAACTGATTTGCTTAAAGTCACACAGAAAGTTAGTGGAACAGCTAGGCCTTGGCATCCTGATCTCAATGCCCAATCCAATACTTTCTCCACTATACCACAGCTGCCTCAGATGATAAATTTAAGCTTTGAAGTTCTTCAAGAAGCCTGGGAATTTTGCTGTTTAGGAATTATGGTGTTAGAGGGAAAGCAGCTACAAAGGAATTCATCGGAAATCTTTTTTCTTTTAAGAAAGAAAATCCTATGGGATCAGCAGTTTTTGCTATATTGGATTTCTATGACCCCACATTTGTGAGCTCTAGAAAAGAAAAAAAATGTTTTGACACTGAAGAACAAAATTCCTTTTTTTTTTTTCTGAGTCTATAAAAAAAGAGACTCATTTTCTTTACTATGTACAAGGTCTGGCTAAGTACTAAGGCTTGGTGTTATGTCAAGAAAGGCTCCAAAGAATCTTTACCCAGAAGTCCTATTTTAGTTCTGCCTGGGCTGTTGATGAATTATCATAATCCAGAATCTGCTTTTAGGTTGGGGGATGTAGGTCCTCTGAAGGATGCAGTAAGCAAAGGATGATGGGTAGGTGGGAGGGGTGATCTATGCCTGCTGGGGATAGTGTTTTGGCTTCTCCAAAGTATATAGTACAGCACATTTGATGTTGAATTTCCAGATACACCCAAAGCATCCTGTACATTGGACACAATTTTGCTCACAATAGACCCTTCTAATGCATCAGCAAGATGGAGGTGGGCTCCAGAATGAACTTGAAAGCAAAAGTGTGTTTGGATATTCATTAGCCTGTGGAAGTATTTCTTTCCTCTCTGTTCTCTATCCCCTGAAAAACATGGGAGTTTTACTGGACTTAAAGGCCAATATGACTCAGTAGTGAAGCACAGAGGCCGTCTTGGATGGCTATCGCCATCTTAGGCTGAATCAAGAGAGGCACGTTTTTCAGAAATAAGGAGGTGATAGTTTCACTTTACTCTGCCCTGGTCATACCCCACCACATTTAGAGTTGTAACATTAAATCAACACCCCACCATTAAATCAGGAGACTTCCTATTTTGCTGAGAGGGAACCTAGGATTGGAAGAATAAACCAATGAACTGGTTGGTTGGCTGTCATAGTTCAGAGAGAACACTGATTAAATGGAGATCATTCAGAGGAAGGCAGCCGAAGTGGTGATAGGCCTCAAGTTCATGCCCCAAGAGTCTCTGTGAAAGGAACTAGGGACGTCTAGGCTCTTCTCTCAATGTGGATCTTTCCAGCAAAGGCTGGACCGCCATTTGCCAGGCACGTTGTGGAGGGAAACCTTTTTCAGGAATAGGTTGATGGCCACTGAGGTCTGTTTTAGCTCTGAGAGCCTGTGATTCTGATCTTTCATCTAAGTCACCACTTAACCATAAAGCACCCAGGCCCCACCTAGTCTGTAGCATGTGTCACCCTTACCACACCCCCTGCAACACCCTTGTTTTGGGAAATCATTTTGGTCTCTTTCTGGTTCACAGCAACAACAAAAAACCAATAACCTCACAGACACAAAGAAATGCCAGGGCTGGAAGGGACTTTCAGTGATTGGACCTAGTCAAACTCTTCTAATTTTTACAGATAAGGAAACTGAGGCTTCTAGAGGGGAAATGATTGGATCAAAAAAAATCAAAAGTGGCATAGGGGAGTCAAAACCAACATAGCCCCCTCCAGGTTATCATCCCATAGGTCCAAACTATGATGTAACACATATTTACATAGAGTTTTATAATTAAAAAACCACACACCTTCCGTCCTTCCAACTACCTTACAAACAGAAAGAACACAACAGGGCCACTGCCCTATAATTATGCCTCCAGCTGTCACTGTGCAAGTATTAGTCTCCCTGTTTTGCAAATGAGAACACTGAGAATCCAAGTCATGTCAGAGGTATGATTCAAACCCAGGTCTTTCCTAACTCCAAGGGTAGCATTCTTTTTCTGTTATGTCCCTTTGTGCTTACAGATTTTTTTTAACCTTGAAATTTTTCTTGTAACTTATTTTTAATACATAGTTTCTTTCTCCCCTTTGCAGTTTTTTGGGTTATAATTTTTGAGGTGCAATATTTCCAGATTCAAATAGAAACGATAGTGGAACAATGCCAGGCACATAGTGGGCATTTAATAAATATTTACTGATCAATTAAAGTAGTGCTTATGTCACAATGCACATCTTGAGTCATTTTAAAGAGAGACTTGGAATAAGAGTGATAAAAGGCTTTCAGCTAGGTGGGAAGCAGTTACTAGCATCTGCTTAACGATGTGGCACTTCTTATCCAAGACATTGACTATCATGTGGCACTAATTAGCTGTGTGACTATAGGTAAATAACCTCTCTGAGCCTTAGGGTTTCAGGATTCTACTAGATTTCTTTGGGCAAAACTGAAGTCACACTCTTGAAAAGTGGCAAGCATTAGGTCACCCTCAGGAACATCTTTGAGCTTGCACTTCAAAATTCTTTGGGGCTGGCTCCATGTGAAAGGACTTTCCTGAGTCAGAAAATGACCTATTTCAAGAGCGTAGGTGTGGTCTTTCCTAGTTAGCTCCTAGGGATTTTCTGGTTCATCCAAATCTGAGTGGTTTCTTAGTCTCCTGTGAGTCACTGACTGATTTCCTGCTGTCTCCATCTCTGGCTGAGACCTCCTGTCAGGCCAGAGCCCCAGCCTCATCCCTGAGCAAACATAGTCTCTGGGAGTTTCTAATTGCACAAGTCCTGGTTAGGGAAAAGTTGAATCACTTTCCTGTTCAACACAATTTGGAACAACCGTTTCTAAGGATAAGGTTCAGATATTTTGAATTTGCATGACTTTGCTAGCAAGCAAAGCTTCAGGGAAACACAGGGAAGATCTTTCCCCATACTCACAGCTGCCTGAGTGGGTAGCGATACGCCCAGAATCATCCCCAAATTCTACAGTGACACAACATGCCTTTCCCTGACTTCTTCATTTGGGTACACAGAACAACTGCAATTAGGAAACAATGAAGGATGACTGGACAGGGCCCAAGGTCAAGGGAGGAGGGCAGGGCACAACAAAGATTAGAGCTGAAGGTGCCCTATTAGCCGCAGTCACTTTCAGGTTATACAT